AACACTTACGACGGTTCAATGAATACCAAACAAGGATTCCCGGTGTTCAACACCGTCATTCATGCAAATCACATCTCGAAAAAAGATAAAATCGCTTCAGATAGTCTGACTGATGAGGATATTNTGATTTATCCAAAGATACGGCTATAGCAGATCGAATAGTGGCCAGTATTGCACCGTCGATTTATGGACATGAGGATGTAAAACGAGCCATAGCGTTGGCTTTATTCAGGTTTTTAATTTCAAATTCGCTTCTTTGTGAAAATTCATCAGCTTTAAATGTGTTATTGAATTTCATTGGAATTTTCTTAAAGTAATTTTCAATTAAGTGGACTTGTTGTTATATTGACGAATATTTTACAGAGGTGAATCGAAAAATCCCGGTGACAAGCACCAACTTCGTGGTGATATCAACGTGTTGTTATGCGGAGATCCTGGCACTGCCAAATCGCAGTTTTTGCGTTATACTCAACATATCGCCCCAAGAGCTGTGCTTACGACTGGACAGGGTAGGCGCATGTTTATACTGCTGACATCAGTTGTGAATTTGAGCAGTTGAAGTTTGTCTAATTGTAAGGTATTCTTTTGGGAAATATCGTTTATCTTTTTTTTGGATGTAGGTAGTGTAAAATTCATTGGTTTGTAGGTGCGTCGGCTGTTGGTCTGACAGCATACGTGCAAAGACANTCCGGTGACCCGCGAGTGGACACTGGAAGCTGGAGCTATGGTGCTCGCAGATAAGGGTGTATGCTTGATTGACGAATTCGATAAAATGAATGATCAGGTCAGTTAATGGATCGATCAGGCAATGCTTACAGTTAGAAGTTTTGTTTACTCGTATTTCTTCAAGTAGGTAGATGAATGAAGATCTGAGAGAGAGTTAAGTTAGTGACAGTATGCAATTCCGGTTCGAGTGTTTTTGCAAATTTTAGTTTTATTTTTGGATTTTTTCAAAGGGATTCGAATGATTCCGTTGTATTCTGTAATAATTCTGTAATTATAATTATTACTTGGACATCGAGTGGTTGTTTCGTCGATCGCG